TACAGGAGAAATGGAACACAGAAAATAAATCAGAAAATTATTTCTTCATAATCCATAATTGAATCGCCTGTTTCATTCATTATTGTGTCTTTCATGAACAACTTATGTTCTCATAAAAAAAATACCAGTAGTGTTTCCTGCAGTAGACTAGCTTGTGGTAGATGATTATGTTATCCCAACAGGTAGATGATGACAGTAGTTTGCTGCTAGAACAATGCTTGTGTATTAGCACACAGTATCTTTCATACTTGACCCATCATGATCTCTTCAGGAGTGCTTTGGAGATTCACAGGATACAAGCAGATGAATACAATAAACTTCTACTGTGAAACGTACTAAGTTCTTAACCTAGGCTCCTTTAACTTTTTGCCCTACCTGTCATGCTCTTTCTCCAGAAACAACGATGGCTGCCCCTTTATCATCATTCAGGCAAATGTCACTTTCCTGGAAAGTCCTTTCCCAGCTACTTTCTCTGTATAATAAAATAGCATCCCCACACTCAGTCCCCCTCTTCTGTTTCACTATTTTCTTTGCAGCATTTATCAGCTCTTAAAATTGACCAACTTATCTATGCACTTATTATCTATCTTCTTCACAAGACTATAGACTCTGAGAGGTCAGAGATTCTTTTCTTAGTATCTTGCCTGGAAGTTAGTTGTTGTTGTTGTTGTTACGTGCCGTTGAGTTGGACCCAACTCACAGCGACCCCTCCTTGGGTTTCCAAGGCAGTATCACTATGGGAGTAGATTGCCCCATCTTCCTTCCGAGGAGTGGCTGGTGGGTTTGAACTGTCAGCCTGCTGGTTAGCAGTCAGGTGCCTTAGGCACTATGCTACCAGACCTCCCTGGAAGTTAGTAGTAGACCCTTAACACACATTGGTGGGACCGAAAATAAATTTTGAAAACCCTAAACCTATTATCATTGAGTAGGGAAAATAATAGAACCAATAAATATTAAAAAGCCTTCATACTATGTACTTATAGAGTTCAGATTCTGACTCATGGTGACCTCATGTTACAGGGTAGAACTACTCTAAAGGGTTTTCTTGGCTGCAGTCTTTATTAAAGCAGCCTGTCTTCTATAGTGCTGCTGGGTGGTTTCGAACCATTAACCTTTAGGTTAGTAGTTAAGCACAAACCACGTGACAGCTATTGGTAGAACAGCAGATATTAATTGAATCCCTATTACATGCCAGCTGTTTTCTAGGCAATGGGGATGCAGCAGGGAATTAAGCAGGCAAAAATCTCTGAACTCTTGGAGTTTATATCCTAATGCAGAGAAATAGTAATCAAGTAAAAGCTTCAGTATGGAAGCAGGAAAGGAGGGAAAACTCCCTGGGTGGAGTTGTCCTATATTAAATGGGGTGATCAAAGGAAGGCTTCACAGTAGAGACCTGATGAAGAAGGGGAGAAAAGAGGCACCTGAACAAGGCGAGGGAGTTATCAGGGGATGAATGTTTTAGGTAAAGGGAACAGCAAGTTCAAAGGCTCCTAGAGGATACTTGCCATTTGCCATTGAGTCAATTCCAACTCATGTACTCCATGTACACAGAGTACAACTTGTCCACAGAGTTTTCAAGGCAGTGAATCTTTGAAAGCAGATTCCCAGGCCTGTCTTCCGAGGTGCACCTGGGTATGTTTGAACAGCCAACTTTTTGGCTAGTATTGAGCACATGCATAACCATTTGCATTACCCAGGGATTCCCCTAGAGGACAGAAAGGGGGCTATGTGGCTAAAAGCAGTGCAATCCTGAGGAAATGGTAAGAGATGGATCAGAGAACATGGTAGTTCCAATCACGATCATCCATAGTCTTGTAGGCCACTGGAAGGACTTCCACTTTCAAACACTTAAGTAAGATGGGAAGCAACTGAGAGAGGGAGGCTTTGAGTGACATCATCTGAGTTAGGTGTTAACAGTATCCCTCTTTTTGTTCTGGTGAGACTAGACTGGAGTGGCAAAGGTGGAAGGAGTTAGGAGACCAGAATAATAATCCAGGCAAGAGAGAAGATTGGCTTGGTCCACTGTGAGACCTCTTAGGACTGTTTGGGACCTATTGGTAGAACAGCAGATATTGGTAGAACAGCAGGGAGATGGAGAGATAGGCTAAAAGTCTGGAAGTATTTTCAAGATACAGCTGACAGGATTTTCTGAGACAATGAAAAATAGCAATAATATAAAGTATGTGCAGAATTGATACAAAGAAGGCCTTTCTTGCATTTACAGGAGAGACTGGTTTTATCAGGCCTGTGACACTGATGTAACAGAGTAGCACAGCCACCTCGAAATCCAGCCTTGGAACTTGGAACTTTTGTGTCATCTATTATTTATCCCAAAGAACAAAACAAGAGTGGTGAAATATATTCAGTATCAAAAACTGTACTTGCAATTAAGCAATGTGATTTGGGGTTTGATTGTATTTCAGCTTATTGATATAAGTGCAATAATTGTTCAGCAGATATAAACATTCCCAAGTGAAAATGACACTCAGGTATGAGGAGACTTCAAAACTCTCTGGTTATACAACATTAGCAAGAACAAAGGTCTTGACTCATTTATCCTGATTGACGACTGTACTTCAAACTGATCTGGAAACATTCAGATCTCAGACCTCTGACACCTTTGCCTATGGGGTACACGGAAAGTGTCTTGTAGCTTATTCAGCCTTGCATTTTCCACTACCTGGTGCCACACCTGTCCAAGACACCAGGTCACAACATGCTATTGACCAGATGATTTAACATCCTTCACCACTCTCTCCTTTACCCTCTCTCTACCATCCAGGAGCATTTATTTTCACCAAAGTCGGTAGTCAGATAATCACTGTTCTCTTAGTTAGTTACAGTGCTGCTATAACAGTAACACCACAAGTGGATGGTTTTAATCAACAGAAATTTATTTTCTCATCATTTAGGAGGCTTGAAGTCCAAATTCAGGGTGCTGCCTCTTGGGGAAGGCTCACTATCTGTCTCTCTGTGGGGAGGTCCTTGTCTCTTTTCAATTTCTACTCCTAGGTTCCTTGGCGATCATGTGTGCTGCTTTGCTTGCTTAATTTGCTGTTTTATATCTCAGAAGAGTTTAAGACACAGCCTACTTTGATACTACCTCAATAGCATGACAAAGATAACCCATTCTCAAATGGGATTATAACCACATGTATACGATTAGCAACACATGTTTTCGAGGGACACAATTCAAGCCGTAACAGCTCCTAACTATGAAAGCTCAGAATGATGAACACTGAGCAAAAGGCCCCAACTCTCTTGGGAAGCAGGGAAGTTTTTTTTTTTTCTTTTGGGAAGGGAGTGGTTTTGTGGACTAAAGGGTGAAATCAAATATGGAGTGAGTGGTAGTGTAGTGCCTAAGGCACTTGACTGCTAACCAAAAGGCTGGCAGTTCAAACCCACCAGCCACTCCTTGGAAGGAAGATGGGGCAATCTTCTTCTGTAGTGATACTGCCTGGGAAACCCAAGAAGGGGTCGCTATGAGTCGGGTCCCACCACGCGGCAGCACATAACAACAACAACAACAGGAATTAAGGATGAGATGTGAGATGGGATCAAAGCAGAGGGCAAATATCTAAGGCCCTGTGACTGGGAACCTGGATCTGAAGCGGACTGAACAGACTGACCCAGCCCTGAATGGCTGGGTCAGTCCCTGCAACTTTGGGAGAATTAAACGCGTAAAGGGAGTGTCAGGGCTGAAACGGTAGTTTGGTAAACTACATTAGATCTGCAGACCTTTTGAGCTTTATGGCAAGATTCACTTATGGTTGAAAAGGTCAGGTTTACTATTCTTAATTTCAGACTAGAAGCTCTGGTAGTGTAGTGCCTAAAGCATTGACTGCTAACCAGCAGGTTGGCGGTTCAAACCCACCAGTCGCTCCTGTGAAGGAAGGTTGGGCAATCTACTTCCGTAGTGATTCCGCCTCCAAACCAAGTGGGGTCCTACTCGAGGGCCCATAACAACAATTATTTCAGACTATCCTCCAAGGCTTTTGTAGGGAAGTGGCTGTGTTCCCTGCCCTCAGGAGAACGCGCCCCAGATAACACGTTTAGCTCACCCAAGTTCTCTGTTTCTTTTTCAGTTATTTACCTATTCTGAGGTCTCCCAACAAATTAGTTTGTTCAGCCCTCAGAAAATGAACTATCGGACCATGTTCTGCGGCAGGATATCCAGGTTTCTAGAGGTTTTTTTTTTTTGAGGCTACTCAGCAACGCTCACAAAATCTGAATGCCTGTGGATTGGGTCCGCCCTGTCGTGTCTCCAGAGCATTTCTCTCCAGAACTTCCAGCAACCTGACGACCGACTACACCACGCTTTCCAGAGGCCAGTTCCGGAGGTGGCCCGACCAAATGCCGCCAAGCATTTAGACTCCCCAGGACGAAGCCGGAAAGTTTACGTTTTCTTTTAAGAATCAACGAGGGAGGTGGGCGCGGGGTGGGGACCAGGGGACTTAGTGACTAACCCTCTGACAGAAGGTTTGTCTTCCAAAGCAGCCTATTCCAAACTTCGTCCGCTTCAGATGAGGGAAAAGTTGTATGGGAGCGAAAATGGGCTGCAGCACCGGGCTGCGCGGACCAACTGGGTCGTTCCCGCTGTGCTCGAGCCGGGGTGGAGCCATCAGCGGGGCGCAGCGTCAGCGTTTAAGAAGCAAATCAACTCCTGGCTCACTCCTCCCGCCGCCTCCTCCCACGTCGGGGAAGCTTGGCTCCGCCGCTCCACAGTCGCCCCCGCCTCCTGCGCGCCGCGGCGCCCAAGCGGGCGGCTCTACTTAAGCGGCGTGCTGGCCGCGACCTGGCACTCGCCTGGAGCGCGCGGGCAGAGCGCGCTGGGGCGCACAACCGCGCTCTCGCATCGCTTGGCTCTGTGCGGCTCTCCGCGGCGGCCAGGGCGGAGAGCTGATAGAGCGTCCGGGCGCTGAGGCTCCAGAAAAGGAGGCTGAAGCTCCTGAGCGCGGCCTCGCTCCCTTCCCCTGCCCTAGCCCAGCCACCTCTTTGCCATGGCTCTGGCGGACAGCACACGTGGATTACCCAATGGGGGCGGCGGCGGGGCCGGCAGCGGCTCCTCGTCCTCCTCCGCCGAGCCGGGGCTCTTCCCTGACATCGTGGAGCTGAACGTGGGGGGCCAAGTGTATGTGACCCGGCGTTGCACGGTGGTTTCGGTGCCCGACTCACTGCTCTGGCGCATGTTCACGCAGCAGCAGCCGCAGGAGCTGGCCCGGGACAGCAAAGGCCGTTTCTTTCTGGACCGGGACGGCTTCCTTTTCCGCTACATCCTGGATTACTTGCGGGATTTGCAGCTCGTGCTGCCCGACTACTTCCCGGAGCGCAGCCGGCTGCAGCGCGAGGCCGAGTACTTCGAGCTGCCGGAGCTGGTGCGCCGCCTTGGGGCGCCCCAGCAGCCCGGCCCGGGGCCGCCGCACCCGCGGCGTGGAGTGCATAAGGAGGGCTCGCTGGGCGACGAGCTGCTGCCTCTCGGCTACACGGAGCCGGAGCAGCAGGAGGGCGCCTCGGCTGGGGCGCCATCGCCCACGCTGGAGCTGGCTAGCCGCAGCCCGTCCGGGGGCGCGGCCGGTCCGCTGCTCACGCCATCCCAGTCGTTGGACGGCAGCCGGCGCTCAGGCTACATTACCATCGGCTACCGCGGTTCCTACACCATCGGTCGGGACGCGCAGGCGGACGCCAAGTTTCGGCGGGTGGCACGCATCACTGTGTGTGGCAAGACGTCGCTGGCCAAGGAGGTGTTCGGGGACACCCTGAACGAGAGCCGGGATCCCGACCGGCCCCCGGAGCGCTACACCTCGCGCTATTACCTCAAGTTCAACTTCCTGGAGCAAGCCTTTGACAAGCTGTCTGAGTCGGGCTTCCACATGGTGGCGTGCAGCTCCACGGGCACCTGCGCTTTCGCCAGCAGCACCGACCAGAGCGAGGACAAGATCTGGACCAGCTACACCGAGTACGTCTTCTGCAGGGAGTGAGCACCCCAGCCTCTTATCGACTCCAGGTCTCGCCTCCCTTCCTTTTCTGTTTGGGAGATGATTATTTCATCCCCTCCCTCTGTCCCTCTGCCTCTCCGCATCCCTCCCTCGCCCCTAGGAGCCGGGACCAGATCCTTCTTCCCCCAATTCCAGAACCTGCTGAGCAAACCTCGGTTTTTTCCTTTTCTTTGGACTCCTCCGACAGAACTAGCCCATACATAACAAGCCCCCCCCCCATGCTTCGTCCAAACCCTGCCTCAAACCACCCCTCCCTCAGATTGCCCTTCAGTCTGGATGGCTTGGGGGCAGTGTGTCCACAAAATCACCAAGTACCAGGAAATGACTGAATTGTTTAGAATCTGATTGGACTGTGTCCAGTGTGACGAGATTCCTTGAAATCTTCTTGACCCCTTATGATTCATTCGAGGTTTAAGAGATAGAGTTGGTAAAACTGGAGAAGTTAGTGTTTTAAAAGTCATTACATAGTCTTCTGGCCTTCTTTAAGGGTATTTAGAAGGTTGAATGAAAGACTAGGGTTCTGGCATTGAGACCCTGTGGAAGCAGTTCAGTGACTGTAAATGATTAAAGTTTTGAAAAGTTACAGGTAGAAGAAGAAGAATCTAGTGCTGGCACAGTGAGGGTTCAGATCTTTCAGTACACAATGAAAGGTCTTCGCCTGTGATTTAAACTTGCAGAAAGTGATCCTTCTGCCTGCTGAGGCGCCCTTTCTCCTTGGCTCATCGCCAGAAGCACTTGGTTCGACTCTGGTTGATATGACAATTACCGAAGAATGAGAAAGATCTTTGCCGCAGAAGAGGGCAGGTCTGCCCAGGTCACCAAGCACCACAGAAAGTCACCTCAGAGATATGAACGGAGTTGAGTAGTAATGCACGCCGTGGCTATTAGGAAAACCCATATTCTTGCAGTGAATGGCATTAAGATTGTCCTTAGCTTGTAAGACTTGGGGGGTGGGGTTGGGAGGGAGGAAGGAGGGTAGGAAGGGGGGGAAGGGGAGAGCAGACATTCATTATTTGAAATTTGCAAGTTTGTACCATTCATTTGAGTACACGCATTTTATTTTAAAACATCAAATAGTACACAAAAACATGTAAAGCATTTTATAGAGATAAAAGATCTACTCTTAGCTGGCAGTTATTGAACTTTTGAATCCTAAACTTAGAAGTTAGAGATACTTATAACCTAACCAAAGAGTTACCAAATAGAGTTTTAGTTTTTGAACTTTTTTTTTTTGTGTGACTATAAATCCTCATTTTAAAATCTATTTACTTGAGGAAACTGTTTTTGGTTACTCAGACTTAAGGTATCTTATGAAAAATCTTTATTTTCCCTAAGCCCAGCCCATGTTCCGTGGTTGAGAAAAACTGAAAACCTGAAAATGCCACTTTGGATCTTCTTTCATGCAGTTGTTTGAAGTTAAGGTGGAATCTTTTCAAGTGACAGCTGCAGAGAAATTAAGCAACAAGGGCTGCCCATCTGTAGATAGCTATAAAGTGGAATATTTTTAAATGACAGCAAATAAGTACTTAAAAGTGAGCTGAGCAATAAAATGGTGTTTTAGGTAAATGTAACAGTAACAGAAGGAGACCTGGTTGCCTTATGTCTTTAATACAGAGTACATTTCCTCTGCATATCCTATCTACACCCTAAGTGAAGGTAAATGAATCCTTGTCTTTCGTGCTGTGAGGTGTCCTTTGGATATTGTGTGGTAATGGAGAAACCTTTCTATTTTGTTCGTTTGTTTTAGCCTCTTTCTCTGAAGTATGTTTTTAAAGATTTTGTAAGAGCCATTTTCAGTGTTTAAATTAGTGCTATTTTCCCTTCTTTTTTACAATGGATCTTGTACTGTATCTTCCTGTGTTCATAACAGATGTTAAGTATTGGAACAGTTTTATTCTTAGACTCATGTGATCCAATCTGTATATACCATATATAAACATTTTACACGAATCATTTAGTTTTTTAATTCATTTACTAATGATATAGAATTTCCTATATTTACCCCAGTAATTTGTGTCAAATGGTGTATATATTGAAGCAACATGTTTTGATGAGTTTCTTATATCCTTCTCTATGGGGAATTGAGTTAGGAAAAAATATGTAATTGTGAAACTCATTTTGCTTCAAACTTTTTGTTTAGATCTTAGCTGTATACAAATATGTTGATTATCTACTTAAAATCAAGGTACCTGTGTTTTTAGTCTACTAACTTCTTTTTTTTTTTAATTTGGAAAGAAAGACTCAAGGGTTTTATTAGACTTACATTTTTAGAAAAGTAAAGTTAGCTTTATATATAGACTATGTTTGTTGTTGTTGTTATGTGCCGTCGAGTACGAAAGACTAAGGGAAATGGAAGCAGGAATCCAGGAAGTTGTGTTTGCTGAGTTTAGGGTTAGACTTGTAATGCATCAGAACTTACCTTTGTTTCAAGTCTGAAATGGTTTAGGAATGTTGCTCAGTGGCCAAAACTAAGGGTCACAGAAATTTCTGCACCCTATATGTTATTCTGTTAGATTACTCAAAAAACAGAGCAACCCCCCCCCACAGAATTGAGAACATCTTAAGACAGAGCTACCACTGACAGATGGCAAGCTATGAAAGTACTAGTGTTCCTTGTTAAATCTGCACAACTCCAGGAGTCATGAGAACTTGCTCATCTTGTCTCTGCCACTCAAGTTGCATGAATTTTATCTTGTAAAACATTGAGTTGAACTGTTCTACTGTCTTGAGCACAGACTACTCGCTCCCTACCACTCTTGCTGCTTTCTAGTGAAGGCTTTTCATTATTTGAAGGATTGGAAATTCAATGAGTAGGGAGAGTACAGTGACCTCTTTCTATCGATGAATGCCCTTTAAAGTTGGAACTTGATGCATGAAAATATTCTACTTTTAGCCCAAAGTAAAGGCTGATTAGGAAGCTCGTTTTATGTTGGCTAGATGGCACAACTGAAGTAAGATGACTGAGCATGAGCATCCTTGGATCCCTTTCCCCTCCAAGTGGTTTGGGCCATGGAAGGACCACCTATGAGTTTGGATAGGGTATAGAGGATCTATTTGGATAAGATGTCCCAAAACACCAAATAACCTGGGAGAATGGCATAAATTATTCAGATAATTATGGTTGCATTAACCTGGCTCAGAATAGCAGGCATTTACTTACGTTGCTCTAATTAACCATTTGATACTCATAAATACAACTGGATGACATTATACTTTTGATAATAATTTTAATTTGAAAAACAAAAGAATTATTAACAATGATGTCAAGTAGTGGTTAAAAAAACAGGTACTATATTCAGTGCTTTTGTACCATGTGTTTAACAATTTGTCTATTTTTTAATACATGTAGACCATATTTCCAATTTATATATTATGAAAAATACTCTTCAATGGTATGATAGTTTGACTTTTTTTCCCTTTTAATACTATTTTTTGTTCTTAGCTTTCATAGTTGGTTGATTTTTGGATTGATAGCAAAGTGATAATTTATAGTATTAGTTAAAATGATCTTCTCTTTCAACCAGATCTGAATATATGAGGCCTGTTGTTTTCTGAGGAAATGTGTAATCTGTGAAAAACTCAAAGGCAACTGGCAATGCTTATAATATATTCCAGTTTTTATTGGAATTTCCATAGAATGTTATTATTCCATTAAAGCCATGTAGATAGAAGCTTTAATATATATTTTTTTTCACTCTTCAAAGTATGGTGAATTTCAATCTAATGTTCAAAACGTTTTTGTATTTTCATGTAAAAAAATGCTGAATTATAATAGACATTTAGAAAAGTATTGACTGGAGGGATTGAATTCCTTATGAATTTTTTTATAGCCTAACTCACATATACTTCACTCAATTGACTTTTTTTTTTTTTTTAATAATAAAGAAGTGTTTTTATTGTAAGGCTGTCAAAGTAAATCCTTTGTTCTGAATTTGTAAAGAAAAGTTCCTGTGATTTTAAGGTCTCTGTATTTTCTTTACTATACAAACAAAACCAAACCTACTGCCGTTGAGTCAATTCCAACTCATAGCGACTTTACTGGACAGGGTAGAACTGCCCCATAGGGTTTCCAAGGCTGCAAATCTTTATGGAAGAAGACTACCATGTTTTTCCCAGAGTGGCTGGTGAGTTGGAACCACTCATCTTTTGGTTAGCAGACAAGTGTTTTAACCACACAGCACTGCCAGGGCTCCTTTGTTACTATAAATCATTTAAAAAATTAGTTTTCTAAGATGGCTTAAGTTTGTCCATAGAGAAATAAGAAAGAAAATATTCATTATTTCCAGTGGCTATAGTACCTGATAGGGTTTCCTGTAGACAGGAACAAGTTATGTTGAAATTAACTTTTTTTTTTGTCACAGTTTTTGACAATGAGTATCTGAAAGTAATAATATTTGAGGACTTGGGTTCTCTACTGGGGCCCTTGAAACTTGGAAGAAATTCTACCAGAAGATCTACATTAGCGAATAATCTTGTGTAGAGGGAGGATGGATTAGTTGACCAAGAAGTCTTGTCACTTTCTACATTTTGGGATTATTTTCTAAACAAAGATTTTTTTTTTTTTCCAGATGTGTTTTGAGGTATATGGACATTTGTTGTAAACTATTATACAGCTGTCTTTGTGACTTTATAGGCAGGTAAATTTTGTTCCTATTGAATATAAATGACAACAATTAATTTATGACCACTCAAACAACACCAGTAACCATTTAATAAGAAAATGTAAAGACTTCATTCATGGATGTTAATTTTGAAGATATAAATTATACATTGCTTAAAAATTTCCAGGCATCTGAAAAACGCTTATCTACTAAACAATGTAAGATTCCCCACAGAAGTCTCTTGGATTCTGAAATTATTGAAATTGTCATACTCTATGCTATATATATCACTGAGCTGTTCTCTCAAAATATAAGGGAAGAGGGAAAGAAATCCTAGTAAGATCATCACGCTTTTCTAATGAAACAGAAAGCTAATGAAAA